CATGAGCTCCAGGCGCGTGTCCAAGTGAAATCACTTGAAGGGGCCAGACGGCAAGACCGTCGGGGCCATCGGGTGCCTCATGGCGCTGAGGGGCTTGCGCGACATGGGTGCCGGAGTCCTGGGGGCGTTCGCAGGCGCGGCGAAACGGGCGTCTCGGCGCATTCTCTCCTGAGGTACGGCTTGTCGCCCGGACTGGGTGTGCGTTGCTGTGAACATCGGAAATGCGTTTATGCAGTGCATGGCCTATGCCGAGATGCAGGAGCAGGTCGAAGCACCGCGCGAGGTGAACTTCGCCTTGCCGACTGGCAGTGCAGGTCCCAGGCTGCGAGTCCTTCGACGAGCGGACCGAATGCCTGCGCGGCATCAAGTCGGGCACGGGCTGCAAGGATGCGCCCAGGGTCTTCTCTATGGAGCTCGCCGGGGACACGTGTTCGCCCGAGTGCAACTCCAAGCCGACATTGTGGGGCCCTGATCTCGAGGTAAGGCGTGAGGCGTCTGGTACCCCCTCGGAGCAGCCGCCTGCGCGCTGCTCGCGCATCGCCGCGTGGCGGCGTGCGTCGTCGCGCTGCAGAGGGCCAAGAACAAGCTGCTCATCGGGCGCGTGATGCAGCTTGACGCCGCAGTGCTGTCCATGCAGGAGATCAAGGCGCGCAGCGCATGCCGAGCGATGGGGCGCGCCAAGCCGACTCCGCGCGCGCAGCGACGGCTCGTTCAAACGCGAGGAGGACACGGGATGCGGCATGCGAGGCGCCGTGCGCGCGCGTCGGGGCAAGTGTCGCAGTGCCGGGTAGGAGGTCTGCCACCTGCTCGACGACGTGAGCCGATCGCGCAATTTTGTGTGTCGATCGTCGTTCGGCTCAGAGCTGTTCGCCGTCCGCGGAGCATCGAGCGCGCCTCCCGACCCTCCGCGAGATGATGGTGCGTGGGCCTGTTTCAGCCGGGGAAACTAGGAGGCTGGGGGGGGGGGGCTATGCCGTGCTGGCCGAGCTCGTGGTCGACGGCGTGTCCGTATTCTCAGCCCTGGCCATGGGCCCTGTTCGACCATGGTTGGAGAACAGCATGGCCAGGCACCTCAGGTGGCTGTCGCATCAGCTGCGCACAGAGCAGATCGACGACATCCTGTGGCGTGGCACCAGAGGCATGCGCGCCGACCCCGTGGGAGAGGGCAGCATTGGCCGCGACTGGATGTTGAGCAGTTTGGAGGGCAAGTTCAGCTGCGACAGCCCGGTCGTCAAGCTGGGCGAGGAGAAGCTGCAGAAAACCGCCCCCAGCTCACAGCAGAGCGACCTTGCCAACAGGGGGGACGACGACACTATGGTTAAACTACTTGGCGTCGCGTATCCCAGACTACAGTCGCGAATGCCGCGTCGGGCTCGCATATCGCGAACTGCGTTCGCGACTGCGACGCAGTTCGTCAGGGGGAAGTGCAGAGGCCCGCATACAGCGAGCCGTGTTTGCGAATGCAGCGCGGTAAGCATGCCAGTGGGTGGGTTGCTTCCTCGAACTATCTTCGCCGGGCAGCCGGTTTCGGACAGTTGAGCATGCAAGTGGGTGAGTGATGCTGCTTGTGCAGCTTTATATCAGAGACCTGTACAGCAGAAGGTTTCTTTTGCATTTTTTTGGTATGACGGGGCTGGTCAGCAAAATCCCCTGCTCAATTTGGTTCTTCGTGCAACTATTTAGTCTTTCAGCTGTGCCTTGTTGATGGTTTGTCCAGGCTGCCAGCGAGGCACGGCGGACCCGCTTGAGCGTGAGCACAAGACCCGAACGGTAGTTGACCAGGGATGTGGCGTGTGTAGCATAGCAGTGAATCAGTGATGGGTGGGTGCGGGACGGGTTTTCCTTTTGTTGCCATGCTGGCTGAATGTAACTTTCCGTGCCCGCTATAATATACCTTTTCCGCTCTGCGCCGCTTGCTGAACGTAGGCTTTCTCACGCCGCCTTTTTGTAAACCTCATCGTGTCGCTTTTCCTCCCCCGTCAATTCCTCGTCCTATCTTCTCTCCTTTCCTCTCGCTTCTTCTTCGCCCCCGCCCCCTTTTTGGGGTCGCGCAGCCAACCGTCGCGATTCGTTTCAATACGGTGGACGATCCGGCGCAGTGTATCGTTTTTTTTTCTTGCAATCACTGGCCCTCGTGCGTTACATCGCGCAATCCGTTTATTTTACTACTGGGCCATCGGGGTACGACTTCGTTCGTATCTCGCTGCCCCGCCCTGAACAAACAACTTCAACACACTTCTCTCTTTCTCCCTGTCGTTTCTCTGTTTTTGTTTCTCATTCTATGTCTATTTTTTATGTCTCTCTCCGTCTCCGCATACATGTAACTAGGTGTACATCGAAGTATACACATGCCTGCCCTCAACAATGCTTGCATTTAGGCAATATTACCTGTTTCTTCTGACGTGATTCGTTTGGTGCTCTGGGTTTTCGCCTCGTTGCCGCCCGTGCCGCCTCGTGGGCGCCTCGTGGGCGTCCCGTGCGCCTGGGGGGACTATTGAGGTTGCGCCACGTTGCCGCCCGTGCCGCCTCGTGGGCGCCCCGTGCGCATGGGGGGGGGGGGGCGCCAAGGTTGTGCCACGTTGCCGCCCGTGCCGCCTCGTGGGCGCCCCGTGCTCTGGGCTCACGCAGTACAGCCTTCACCGCGTAGATTACACCAAATAGCTTAAACCACATAGCTCACATTGCATATAGCATATAGCATTCACAACACAACATGACTTCCATCACATAGCTTCCACTCCATAGCCTTCACCTGCAATTCGCACCACCAAGCTTACACGAAATATTTTCAAACCGCATAGTTGACAAAGCGTCGTGCTCACTTCATCAGCTCACCCCACATAGCTTTCACCACGCAGCTTGCACATCATTGGTTGTTCCTCCACGGTGTAATGTCGCGTTGTTTGGGATCCACGCTAGCTAACATTGATTGTTTGTTTTTAGCATACTGTTTGATGCATTCAGAGCGGTCCAGATAACTCAACTGGCCCCCACGGTCGCCCCAAGGCGGCCCAGAGAGGCCCCGGGCGAGAACTTTGTACGGAATGGGAGGAGGGAGTACGCGAGAGGAGGAACGATACAGCGATACACATCTCTCCCTATACATGCACCTGTCCATACATATGTCTATTTTAATGTGTATATATACATTTATGTTGACACGTATGCATGCATGTCTGTCTGTCTGTCTGTCTGTCTGAATGTATGTATCCATGTATGTATACATGCTACACATGTATATATGTATATATATATATATATGTTATATGTATGTATGGATGCATGCGTGCATGTATGTATATGTATAGGTATATGTATAGGTACATGTATATGTATATGTATTTGTAAATATATATGTGTATGTGTATCTATGTGTATATATACATGTATATGTATATGTATATCTATATGTATATGTATATGTATATGTATATGTATACGTATATGCACGCATATATATATATATATATATATATATATGTACATGCATATGTATATGTATATGTAGATATATACGTACATGTATATGCATATGTGCATGTACATGTAGCTGTACATGTATATATATATATATATATATATATATATATGTATGTATATATATATATGCATATGTACATGCATAGGTATATGTGTAGGCATATGTATATGTATAGGTATATGTGATGTATATGTATACATATATATATATATGAATACACACACATATATATACATATGCACATGTATTTATGTATGTATATATGCGTGCATGTATGTATGTATGTATGTATGTATGTATGTATGTATGTATGTATACATGTATGTATGTATGTATGTATGTATGTATGTATGTATGCATGCCTCTCTCTCTCTCTCTCTCTCTCTCTATATATATATATATATATATATATATATATATATAGGGAGGCCGGGGGGGAGGGCAAAATCGTTGCCGTCATCCCTCATGGCCGCCCCCAACCTTTGGGGGGTCACAGACCCCCCGGGACTGCCCGGGGCCGCTTCCAAATTGCCCACGACAGGCCACGCGGGCCGTACAGATGGTCAAGAAAGCCTGAAGAGGCCCCGAAGACGCCCAAGAGCGCGCCAAGAGGGCCCGTGAGGGCCCCAAGAGGGCCTTCAAGAGGCAACAATCTGCCCATTTCCTTAGTAAAACGTGCGTTTTCGGCATACTCGCTGGCTTCGTCTTCACAGTACCCCAGACGCCCCCGCGGAGCCCCAACGCAGCCCAAGAGAGACCCAAGAGGGTCCCAGACGGCCCACAAGGGTCGTCCTGTGGGGCTCACGGACCCCCCCGAAACGGCCCAAGAGGCCCCAAAGCCGGCCCAGGAGGCCCCCAGGACGGCCTCAGGGAGGCCCAAGAGGGCCTCGTTCGAAATCATGTTCCCGGAAGCCTCTCCGGGAACATGATTTCCGGGTTCCGAGGACGCCCAAGAGGCCCACAAGACAGCCTCAGCGAGGCCCCAGAGGGCCCGAGATGGCTTGAAGATGGCCGAAGAGGGCCCCGAGAGGGCCTTCAAGAAGCAAACATCGACCCATTTCCTCCGTAAAACGTACATTTTCAGCATACTCGATTGCTTCGTCCACGAGAGACCCAAGAGGGCCCAAGACGGCCCAAAAAGATCGTCCCGTGGTGGGAGAAAACGAGGTCTCGTGTACTTTCTCTCAGAGCGGTCCTCGAGCCAAATTATCACATATGCATCCCCTTCCGTCCTGTGCAGCAAACTCCAATCACAACAAACGCGACAGATAACATCCGCCAGCCCCGTAGGGCTACAAGGCTGTCGGCCCTTTGGGCTTACACGGAACCTCAGTCATATTAGGCCAAACCCCTTTCGGCATGGCACACAACATAGCATAGCCGCACAGCTGGATTAGGGGTTATATACACGCACACCCCCTCGGAGGTGAGCACATCTTGTTTTGCTCGACTCCGCACACAGTTCCAGCCGTGCGGAGCCTTTACAACATCAAACCCGCTCGACGTCCTCACGTCGAGCTCACCGCCACCAGGACTCCACCGTCCTGAGGCGCCGAATCAAATCACTCTTAGATCCGCTCGTGTCCAAACGGTGCTTCGAGCACCTCTCTCGAATCGCATTGACTGAAAAATCGTCCGCGTAGATCATCATGCATACCGAACAGTTCTCCATAGGCGCAGGCCGCGCCACCGTCGTCCTCTGCCTGACTACCAAGTCTCTCCCACACACCGTAGCAGGAAGCTGCTTGGTCTCCTTCCTCTCGTCGGGCCTCGACTGGTACTGCCCCATCTTATATCCGAGGTAAAACCCCGTGGTGAAGACCACGGCAAACATCACGAAACAAAACACCGCGATGAGCTGGTAGTAGACTGTCTCCACGAAACTCGAACCAGCCTTCCCAACCATCGTTGGCTTGACCGTCGCAACTCCGAGCCGATTCTGTCCTTCAGCTCCCTGAACCAACATCAAAACGCCCGTAAGGCATCGCACCACACCAACTCGAATATCTTCCAAACCTCCAGCGCCTCCTCCGTGTCCACCTCGAACTTCATGAACATCATCACGCTCTGGAAGCTTGATGCCCACCGCCAAGCGGTGTCTCTCGAACTCCGACTTCTCTAGATACTTGGTGCCCAGGTCGCTGCTGTTGAAGGCCGTCGTGATTTTGCCGATGACGAGCCTTCCCTCCCGCGGCAGCCCTTGGACAAACATGTGCTTCAAATGAATATGCTTTAGCTTGTCGAGCCCCAGTCGGCTCTGTGATGAAATGCCAACTGAGCTGTCTGACTCGAGCTGTACGTCCACACTCGTGCTTGGCATCATCTCCTCGATCATTGTCCTGATAAATAGTCACTCGCAAGCTCCCGAGCCCATGCTGTAGATCTCTGCCTCTGCTGATGACGTAGCTGGACTCGCCTGCGTACGACTGTAGGATGCCACCGCTGTGTCGTTCAGATACATATGCCCACTTGACGTTGACTTCCGTCCGATCTTTTCTCCTGCCCAATCACTGTCAACCTTCACCTTGAGTATGAGATCATCGGAACGCGTCGGCGTGATGAAACTCACCATCTCCTTCGTGCCGCCCAGGTACCTGCAGACCCTCTTTAAGCCGCATCGCATCTCCAGTCGTCTGTGAACTTATCCCACGGCTGACCTCCTTCGTCGCGAACTGCAGGTCGTAGCGCTCGCTGGCGATGAGTAGCATCTTGCCAGTGCCTGTACGGAATCGCTTGGCCTGGTCGTTATTCAGCTGCTGCTCGTCGGCCTGCTTAGCGTCTATCTTCACTCCAGGCGTTGCCACCGCCTTGCCGCTTCCGACTCCCTGCAACTCCAACAAACTCTCAATCGTCTTGGCCGCGATCTGACTAGTATATCCCCGACCATTGTCGAGCATCTTGATGACCCTGTCGAGATGTAGCTGCGAACTCCCCGTCGTCATCTCTGGCGTGATCTTGAGCAGGAAATGTCGACCAAACCCCGCAAGGAAATCATCGGGAGCACTTCCTTCGCCGATAACTAGCCCGTCGTCCACGTGCCTCGACACGGGCGCCTTGCTATTCTCGCTGACGTAGATGTTCGGCTCCGAGATCAGCCTCCTCATGCCGAGCTGGTTCACACTGATGTCGCTGTAGTGCGCGTCGAAATCCACCATCGCCTCGTTGAGTCCGTAGATCGTGCGCTGCATCAGCCAGACCACGTCACCTGGGTCGTAGCCGAAGTTGTCGATGCAGTACTGCTTGTACTCCGCTGGAGTCTCGAGGAACACCCTGTCACGAATGGGCGTGTGCAGGAATGCCCTCGAGATGTCGAAGAACTTCGCCTTCCAGCCCATGATCGTTGCCAATGCCAGCACGATCCGAAGTGTAGATGCGCCTGGCGTGGGGGTGTACAAAATGTCCTTCGGCTCCTTTGGCATAGTGAAAGGCCTTGCGCAAACTTTGGATTTCACCCCCTCCGCCCGTGCCTCGTCGACCCAGGTGGTCGTGGGCAACGGGCCGTCCACATCCGTGCGCTGAATGTCGATCTTCGCCCGGAAATCCTCCAGGCGATCGAACTCTGCATACCTCGCTGACTTGATCTCCTCCCAGGTGAACTCCCTCTGTGGTAACACCCGCTTGTTCATCTGCTCATCGTTTTCCTCCTCGTTGGGGCGCAGCTCCTCGATCACATTGATCGTAATCTCGACGTCGGACCTGTCGGCCGCCGATGGTGGTGGCCTCTTGCTGGGCTGTCGCTCCTCGGGCGCGACCTCCTCAGCTGGTCTCTTCGGGATCGCTGGGGCTTGCTTCCCCGTGATCCGCGTCGTAGGAGCTGCCGCTGCCGCCGAACTGCTCGCTGATCCTGGCGATGCTGCCGCGCCTGCTCGCGCTGCAATCGCCTCTCGGGATCTCGGGGACATTGGGTCTCCCGCTCGAAACCTCTTCTCGGCGCTGTCGCCACGGCCCTCAGTCTCTCGCTTAGGGCTCTGCGACGCAGCCGCCGCTGCCGCTCTGGGTGCTGCTGGCGCCGCTGCTGCCGATGGTGCGGCCGCTGCCGCTGCTGCTGGAGCTGCTCCCGATGGACCTGGGAGCACGAGCAGCGGGCCCTGCAGCTGCCTCCTCTTGAACTCCGCCTGCCTCTGCAAACGCGCCGTCGTATGCGCCCTCGGCCTGCCGACTCGCCTGACTGGTGCCTGCTCGTCCTCGCATGCCTGGCACCCCTGCGTAGGCGTCCAACCTGCAAGGGTATCCCGAACCTCCTTCAAGTCGTTCTGCGACCATATCGGGAAGACCATGGCGTTGAACGGCCCCTTCTCCCACTGCTGCTCCTTGGGCCTCCGCTTGACCGTACGGGCCTTCACGATGCCCGTCGGCGTGCCCACGATGTGCTCGTCAGTGTCCGTCGCCCGCCCGAGCCAGATGCCGAGCGTCCAGGCTGTGGCCAGCCTGTTGTCAGGAACTCCTGACCTATTGGCAAGCACATTCTCCGCGAAGTTCAACTGTGGCGAGTTAAACCTGACCATCTTGAGGTCCTCGAAGGCCGTCCTGCCGTTGCGCTTGTACATGAACCTGTTCTGGACGAACGTGACGTGCCTGATGATCCAACTCAGGATGGCAGAGTCTCCTTTGATCTGAACGCCGTACTTCTTCTCAACCTCGTGCTTCAGCGTCCTCACGAGTCCCTCGACTACCTTCACTGCCGACTCCGCCAGACCGTTGCTGGCGTGTGATCCTGGCGCCGAATGCCTCAGAGTGATCTGCGTCTGGATGTCCTTCGAGTCCTTGCTCCTATCCTTCAGCAGTGCCCTGGCGAGCGAGACGATAGCTGGCTCGCCGTCACTCTGCAGCGTCACCCGAGGGTAGCCGACATCGTCGCAGAAGCTGCTCAGAAATGCACCCGTGTAGGTTGATGGTCCCTTCGATGTAACTTGAGCAGCTCCCATGTACCCTGATGCGCTATCTTGAATCACCAAGACTGTGGCCGTCTCCGAATCCTTCTCGTCTATACCCATGAAACAGTAGTCCATGCCCAAAGCTGGATTCGGCGGTCGCTCTCCCTCTGGATGTCTACGTCGATGAGCGTCCTCTTGACCACGTCCGAATACACAACTATCGCACCTCGGCGCATAGGGCACGTGGTTGAGCATGTGACGATCCTGCTCCTCCACGCTCGGCAGCACAGGCACCCTCAGAGCTATGGCTTCCTGCGCCTCTGTGGTGTCCTCGACTGCCTGGTCGCTCTCGATCACGCCCCCTGGAGGATTCGCCTCTCGGTCGGCGGTCACTGGTGCCACGATCCTCTTGTTATGTTGTCTGCCTCTCGTTATACTCGATGTGGGGCTCTGCATGCCCGTCATGAAGTAGCCGTTCCGTCTCCTCGAGAGCTTTATCGCGAGGCCATCCCTGCTCATGTAGCCCTCCGAACCACATTGAAACACATAACCCTTGCTCGTCAGCTGCCCGACCGAAATCAGCGGCCTCCGAACATCTGAAACCAGGAGCGGTACAACAATCTCCAGCGACCTTCCGCACGCAGTCTCAACGGTGAACGGGACGAGTCGCTGTCCGTAAACATGAATGCGCTTGCCAGTCGCTGAGAACAGCTCTGGCTCCTCCGAGAGTTCCGTAATCTGCACGTGCTTCGCGTACTCCTTGGGTGCCACATGTGTGCATGCACCACTGTCGAACATCGGGTCCTCATCGCCCGAAGTACTCTGGATCCCGTCCAGACTGATCATCGCCAAGGTCGAGTCCTCAGCAATCATGAAGATCCACTGGTCACCCCGCTGCCCGTACACCTCGCCGGTATGCCCGTCTTGAGCTTTCGCTGGAGGTTATCCCTGGGCAGGTTCTCCTGAGCTGACCTCGTTTTGTGTAGCTGGAGGGTTCGAGCAATTCTTGGCAATCTGTCCGTAGCGATTGCATCGATGGCACTGTGGTCCCTTTCCTTTTCCACCATCCGACTTGCCCTTGCCGTCCGCTCCGATGTCCATCGGAGCGGGTCCACTACTACTACTTGCCTGGAGCACCATGTAGTTGTTCATCGTCTCCTTCAGCTCCGTGGATGTCGCGAACATCTGCAAATCGATCTGCGCCTTGATAGCCGACGGAGCGTTCGCCTTGAGAATCGCCTGCTTGAGGGTGTCGCTCAGAACTTCATTTTGCTGCTTCTCGTAGAGCTCGAACCGACCCTCAAGCTTCTGCAGCTGCTCTGGAAACTGCGAGACGCCTCCGTCAAACTTCGTGTTCAAAACACTCAACTGTGTGACCTGCGCAGCTCTTGTCACTGGTTCTTCCTGCTTGACGAGCTGCCTCCAAGCCTCTAGGCCGTTGTAGCCAGTAACGTTCATCACCAACTGGAGGCTAGCACCCGTCATAACCTGACTCAGAATGAACGAGAGCGTTCGCGAATGCTGCTTCTTCTCTGCGCTTAGGGGCCCGAACGGGATGGAATCGTCCTGCTCCTCGGCCATGTCTAGGCTCATTGTAGGCCTTGAATCCATACTTCCACTGCTGCCAGTCCGTCTTCTGGCCTGAGTACGGCTTGGGCTTCCCTAGCAACTTTGTGTCAACTAGAGGTACCAGCGGATCTCCCATCTATGCCGAAATCTCAGCCTCCGTCTGTCCTCCGCTGGCCCTCTCTCCTCCGTGTCGTAGCCAGCGTGGCAGCGCCAAGGGCGCGCTCGCCAACGCCGCTAGCGCCCAAGGTCGGCGCCAGGAGCCCGCGTGCGGTCCGTCTGGATCTCACACCACGGGCTCCGCTACCATGGGAGAAAACGAGGTCTCGTGTACTTTCTCTCAGAACGGTCCTTGAGCCAAATTATCACATATGCATCCCCTTCCGTCCTGTGCAGCAAACTCCGATCACAACAAACGTGACAGATAACATCCGCCAGCCCCGTAGGGCTACAAGGCTGTAGGCCCTTTGGGCTTACGCGGAACCTCAGTCATATGAGGCCACACCCCTTTCGGCATGGCACACAACATAGCATAGCCGCACAGCTGGATTAGGGGTTATATACACGCACGTGGGGATAAAGGAACCCCCCAAGACGGCCCAAGAGGCCACGAAGCTGGCCCAGGAGGCCCCCAAGACGGCCTCAGGGAGGCCCAAGAGGGCCTCGTTCGAAATCATGTTCCCGGAAGCCTCTCCGGGAACATGATTTCCGGGTTCCGAGGACGCCCAAGAGGTCCATAAGACAGCCTCAGCGAGGCCCCAGAGGGCCCGAGATAGCTTGAAGATGGTCGAAGAGGGCCCCAAGAGGGCCTTCAAGAGGCAAAATTCAGCCGGTTCCCGTAGTAAAACGTACATTTTTAGCATACTCCTTTGCTTCGTCTTCGCAGTGCCCCAGACGTTCCCGAGGAGCCCCAAGACAGCCCAAGAGAGACCCAAGAGGGCCCAAGACGGCCAAAAGGGTCGTCCTGTGGGGTTCACGGAACCCCCCAAGACGGCCCAAGAGGCCCCAAAGCCAGCCCAGGAGGCCCCCAAGACGGCCTCAGGGAGGCCCAAGAGAGCCTCGTTCGAAATCATGTTCCCGGAAGCCTCTCCGGGAACATGATTTCCGGGTTCCCAGGACGCCCAAAGACAGCCCCCAGAGGCCCCGGACACGCCGAAGATGGCCTCAGGACGGCCGACGACGCCGCCAAAACGCCTCACGAGCGCCTCCAGAGGCCCCTCCAAAGGGCCCCAGAAGCCGAAAGACATTTATTTTCCAATGGTTTTCGAAGCATTCTTGCGCTCTCCCATGTTCCGCCTCCCCACGGTCCCGGACCGCGTCAGAGGCCCTTCAGATCGCTCCAAGACGGCCGAAGAGGCTCCCAAGAAAGCCCAGAGACGGCCCAGGAGGCTCCCCAGATAAGTCAAGAGGGCCTCGAGAGCGCCCCGAGAGCCCCAAGAGCGACCCAAGAGGGCCCGAAGAGCGCGACATTTCGATGTCTCGGGCCTGAGAGGCTCCTGGGACGCCCCCGGAGGCCATCAAGAGGCTCCCAAGAAGCCCCGTGAGGCTCCCAAGAGGCCCCACGGAAGCCCCAAGAGGCCCCCAAGGGGCACCGGATCTTGATCACATCGAATTACCTGAGGCTTCCTCACGAAAACCATCGGTGCCCACCAGTGGTTGCGGGGGTGGGTCCAGAGCTCCCGAGGCGGCCCGAGCCCGCCCCGAAGCAGGCCACGACAGGCTAAGGGGGTCCCGAGAGGACCCAAGACGGTCCCGCGAGGCCCCGAAGACGCCCAAGATGCCCTCAAGACAGCCTCCGTAGCCATTTTGGCTCAAGCCATGTTGGCTCAAACCATTTAGGCTCACGCCTTTTCGGCCGAAGCTGGCTGGGCGCGATGAGTCGCGCTGGTTCAGTTTGTTTGTTCCTGGCTGTTTCAAACCATTTGTCTCAATACGTGGATGTTGTTGCGCAGAGTGCTGGCAGGATGCCTTCCTGCATGCCCCACCGCAGGCGGCCATGCTGCCTTGGCATGCAGCAGCGATCAGCAGTGTTTCGACGTAGTGGCGTTGCGGCTGCAACGCCGCCATGACAGATTGAACGGCGTACTGAGGCGGCTTCGGTGGCCTCGGGCTCTACACTTTGAGGTCGATGGGGTATTGCACACGCTACCTGTGCCGTCGGTACACGGAGGCACACAATCCCAGTCAGATGCGATGTTGTCTAATCATTTGGCGTTTCTATCCGGTTTCTTTGACGGGGATGGTTGTGTAAATGCTGATAGCAATGCGGGGAGTTGTAGGCTGTCTGTCACCCAGTCGATTACGCAAGGATGTGTTTTGATTCTTTTTCGCAGTGTTCTTGGTGGAGGAATTTATTTCAGTAACCCTGGACTTGGCAGGAGGCGACCAGCGCTTCAATGGAGAGCGGTCGGTGAATCTGGCAAGTGGGCGGCCAAGCAGCTTTCGCAGTATTCTCGCTTAGAGCAGGGGCAGCTCCATATTGCAGCAGCTTGGCCAAAGTGTTCCGACTTGCGCGTTCTGCTCGCACGCCAGCTGAAGGCAATGAAGAGTGCCCACTACGTGCCGCCGAACTCTGAGCCGTGCTCCTGGGAATACTTCGCAGGTTTTTTTGACGCAGAAGGGTATGTGAAAATACCTAATTATTCGGCTTCGGTGCACTTGACAATTTGCCAAGTAAACCGCCACGGTTTGGACAGTATCGTTGGTCTTCTGCGAAAGGACTCAGTTGGCAGCTGGCATTTGCGACATTACCATGCAGCCGCTCACCCCTGCCATGTGCTGGGCTGCACGGATACGCAGACGAGCATGAACACGCTGAGGCAATTGTTAGCATCAGGGTTGATGGTGAAGAGGAATCAGGCTGAGCTTGCGCTGACTATTGGGCCTGGAAGTGCCTTGCCCATAAGAGAGGCCATGTCCAGACTTTCTGGAAACCAAAGCAAAGGCAAACGCTTGGATGAACATGGAGCTGCTAGGGTCAAACTAATTCGGAAGGTTCGCGCGCAGGCGTTGCGTGCAAGTCTTGGGGAGGACGACGGCGAGTTTTCCAGCTTGATCCAGCAGGTCTGGCGATTACAGAGTCAGCATGCTGTTGGAATGCTCTCCTCGCAAATATCAGATCTTCGCCAGGACATCCGATCTCTCTTGGCCAAAGGGGCATCGCTCATCAACAGAAAAACACATATATGTATACATATATATATATATATATATATATATATATATATTATTATATATATAAAGATGCCCTCAAGACAGCCGATGAGGACTCCAACACGCTCCAGGACGGACTCAAGAGGCTCCCCAAGTGGGCTCTGGAAGGCAAGATTCACTCGTTCTCCGAGTGTTTTGGATTTTGGCGTTCTCGCTTTTCCCGCTTTCCAGCGCTCCCTCACGGCCTCGGAGGCCTTTCAGATCGCTCCAAGAAGGCCCACGAGGCCCCGACGAGGGCCCCAAGACGGCCCAGGAGGCTCCCCAGACAACCCAAGTGTGCCCCAAGAGCGCGCCAAGAGAAGGCCCAGATGGGTCCCGAGGCGGCCCGGGCCCGCCCCGAAGCAGGCCACGACAGG